AAAGAGTGAGGTTTCACAGACAGGGTATAAGAAAATAGTCTGTGAGGAAAATAGAGAGTGAGTAATATTGTAGTGAGGTGGGAATATCAAAAGAAGATTATTTCTTTTGAGTATTTTACTCGGACCTACAAAGTGTAAAATTCCTTGCTATAGTGATATCAGTTGCTCTTCTAAGGGCCGTGGGTTTTTCCCTTATTCAAAAGGGTTTTCCACGTAAAAATCTTGGTATTGTTGTTACTCTTTTATTCTTGTTAATTACCGTATCTCGATGCTACGTTATTATTCCATTTTTATTACCGTGAATATTATTTTTGTAGGGATTTATTCCCGGCAGGAAGAACTTACAGCTTCTGGAATACTGTTCTTGGGATTGGGCAGCTGCTGGTTTGAAGTCTTCCAATTTGGTGGGAGACGAAACTCATGCATCATCCAATCAGTTTTTGTTCCTTTGCCAGCACTTCCCCTATAATATACTAATGATTTCTTGAGGCCAATGCAGCCACGATCTGTACTTTGTGATGTAGTAGTAGTACTATAAACAGGTTTGTCAATTCCTGTAGCTTTCCAAAAACCAGAACCTGTTACTCTATTTGGTCTTACACTGTTTCTGTACTTTCTCTCTCTCATGCTGAAGAAATACCATTCCTTACAATTATCCCCCGCTGTGTTCCCTTCAACACACAAACAAATTAAATTAAAAATCATCCAAAAGTTAGAAAAATTAGGCTACAAACATATCTTAAATGAAACTTTAAACTTCAACATTTACATTATGAAGATAACATCTTTAATTTTTGAATTAACTTTTATATATATGTTAACCAAGAAAAAAAAGAAACTTGTGTGTGTATGTATATATGTATATATACATACATACATACACACACAAGGTGAAGCTACAGTCCGGTAATGGTGGTCAATTGATCACCTTTCTTCGGAAAATTACATTGCGTATATAGGTAAAATATAAGTAGGTTTTAAAGGTGTATAACATATATTGAACATCCTTTGCGGAATTTTTTTTTACTTCTTTCAAGTTTGAATACCCTTGAAAAATTTTCTGGCTTCGCCACTATATACACACTAATTGTGTATACAATCTTTACACTTTCTCTGTATTTAATCTATATTATTTTCCAACCAATCTCAATTATAATGGCCAGCTATATGTAGTTATCTAGGCGAATCGGTAGCAGTGGCGGAGCCACACGTATTCAAGGGGTGTTAGTATTCTTTTGTCAGAAAATTACACTATTGTAACTAGGTTAATATTTTTATATATATACTATATATTGATACCTATTAATTTCTTTCTGAGTGTATTTTATTTATTTTTTAACCCCTGTAAAAATCTTGGCTCCGTCATTATTTGGTAGTACACAAACTTTTATACACTATCAATTATTGAAGAAGTTAAAATCTTGTTTTTTAAGCATTTTTTTTTTCAGGAACATGAATTCTTTATCTACCACGTGTCCGTTGGAGAAAGATATTATTGTAGTTGTTGCTTCTGATGCACTCAAGCAAAATTCTAATGATAAGAGTTATAGATAGGTATTTCATATTAGACCAAATAATAATCTGTGCTTTCTTGTTTGAATTAGCTAATTAAGGTATGAAAAGAACTTGGTCAATGACAAGGGCAAAGTCACTTTCTAATTGTCTTGTTTAAAGATTGTTGTATGATTCCTTCAACTTTGGAGCCAAGTCCTTGGTCTATAATTGTTGCATGAAAAGGTCAAACAAATATACATCTTCCAGTACAAACCAGATCTAATTATAGCAGTCACTTTCCTGGTGAGGTGATTCGCAGTTATCGCATTCAGTGTAGGGCTCAGAAAAGGCTTACATCCTAGGGGTGTTATATAGACAACCTGCTTATATTGCTCGAACCCAATAATAATAGTGAAATCACACGATGACAATCTTACCACCTTTCTTCACAGTTCTCCAAGCAATACACTATTTTCTCTGTTACCATTTTATGTGATATACATTCTCTTTTTAAGGTCCCTTCAAAATAAATGATGCATTTTTATATAAAAATAATTAATTTTAAAATTTTATTTTATCCTTAATAATATGATTTTATAGTTATAGAAATATCATAACTTATTTAAGATTACAAGTCTCAAAAAAAATTCTTTGTTTAGATCCCATGTCATTGTTGAACACTTTCATACAACAAGAAATTAAGGTATTAATATTTATTATAATAGACTGGAGTCATCCGACCCCGACCTAAATTGTATGTGCCTTGTGCTTACCGTACCTAATTGCTTCAACGTAATTGAGAAAATAAAAGGTATATTAATTATTATGTATGAAGGAAGTCATTTTTCAAGAAAATATTTGTCACAAGAAAGTCATTTTCTTGTGTTTGTACAAAAAACTACGTTTAGACATTTAGGCCAAATTCATTTACCTTACAAGTGTTAACTTTTATCGTTATATTACTTGTTCAACATTAGACATTTATTAGTTGATGTTTAGTTAAATTTTTTATTTAAACACTCTTTGTTTTGCTAATATTATTATCAAATGTTCTTGTATATATTTTCCCGAAAAATACTTTTTGCACTCACCTACTTACACCGATAAATATTTTTCATGAAAAATGTTTAACCAAAAAAATATTTTAATAAAAAATGACTTCCGTGCCGTACCAAAAAACACTCGTAATATAAGCCTAGTTTGGGGTCTTCATACCTACACCTCATTAGCTAATTTAGCCTAAAGGTGAAGCTAGAAGCTAAGTTACGGGTCCGGTCGATCCAATAGTTATAATCCAAACTCTGTATTTGTATTAAAAAATCACTAAATATATACAAAATTTAAATTTAAAACCCATTAAGACCAAATTCAAGTCCGACTCGAATTTAGCCGTGTGTTTATGCTAGACCATCTGATTTTATCAGATTATCTTGGGCTGCGAGGGGAGGAGCAAAGGCGAATATATGATCTAGAGTCGGTAAACCTTGAACGAATGTGACCTATATATATATATATATATATATATCAAATTTTTTCATATATGTAAACATAATTCAAACTAAAAACAATAAATTCAATTGCACGAAAAGCTAATTACATATAATAATTACTAGAATACTCACTTGGAAGATCCCAAGGATCATGTTTGTAGATATCAACCTCTTTGATAAGATCCATTTTGATCCTTTTGTTTTCCACTTTACGTCTCAGATAAAAACTCACAAGCTCTTCATCTGTAGGATGAAATCGAAAACCTGGAAGTTGCATTATTTCTTCTTCATCTTCAGCTTTAATATTAGTTGCAGTTGCTATATTTTCCACTAATTCCATATTTTCTATTTTCTCTGCTCTTTTTTCACTCATTTTAATTATCAAACTAGTGCATGGATATCTTATAGGGTGGTCAGTTAATGAGCCAAAGAAGAAAATAAAATAATAGGACAAAGACAAAGTATAATAATTAATGAGAAAGGTCAAGAGATGGTATAGTTGTTTTGGTCAAAGGCTATGTAAATTAATTGGCCTATTTATCTTTGTTGATTATTTAAAAATGACTAACTTTGTTAAATAATCAGTTGATAGGTTCGAGTCATTTACGACACTTAGGTGCACAATTTGAAAATGCCAGATTTAAGTTCTATCAGAGTATGAAATTTTCCTCATTAATTAATTGTTCTACATACAATTGGAATTCCAATTATGAATTACCACAATTTTCAAAATAATTTTTTTCCTGTCATCGCGCATAGTATTTCCACCTTATTTAATTAAATAGAAATGATTAACAACATTTTAAACGCTACAAAGTTTGGGTCTAATTTTGATTGACAATTGCATCTTCTGTTTTATTTTTTTTTAATAAAAATAAAACATTGATTTNGACGAAGAAATTAGTTATTGCAAAATTGCGGTTTTCCTTACAAAATCTGAAGTCATGAAAGGGTTGTGATGATGCATTAATACTAGAAAGATACGTGACATACGTATTTCGAAAATTAGGGTTTTTAGTTCTGATAAACAAGTGTGGTAGTCCACTAGTGCGGGCACACCATTGACTTGTACAATATGCAAAGTTAGAAAAAGAAAAACTCAAAGTCCTTTATGACTGTAATAGGTCAAGCATATTAAAAACATTCGAGATTTGTCTTGAATGTAGAGATTGATCTTCCAAAGGTTTCGGTGGAATAATAAGTATTTTTTCATTTTTAATATTTTGAGTTCGAATCTCGGTATAAAGTTGCCTTTAATAGAGAGCGTTTTACTCCTTAATGTGGGATATGTTTTTGGTAGAGAGCGTTTTACCTCTTAATGTGAGACTTTCCAGCGCGGAGCCGAATTAGTCAAGCCCTAAAGCAGATAGGATTAAGGGCGGAGCTAGAGTATTGGGTGGGAGCGAGTTCGCCGAATCCAGTAGCTTTGATTCGAACCTTGTATTTGTCTTAAAAATCTATTAAATATGTATAAATAATTAATTTAAAATTCAGTAACTTAAAACGATGTGAACACCAAACTTATAAGCTTGAAAATCTGGCTCCATTTCTACACAGGACATAAAAACAAAATTAAAAGAAATAAAGAAGATAGACATTGACCAATTCTTAAGACACTAAATTCAGCAGAAAGAAGTAATATGTTGGCCCTCAATGTGGACCAGATGACTTCTACCTTCGGATCTCCAAGTCAAGTCAAGCCAGATATTTCTTTTCTTTTTTACTTTGTTGCATACTTTTTTGTATTCTTCTTATCCTTTATTTATTTCTTTCTTTGCTGGTTTATGAATAAAAATAGACAAAAAGTTGGAAGAATTTAATATGGCTGATGTCATAATGTCTGATTTGCATATAAATATTGCTTTGATAAGTATCTTATCTGACTTTTTACAAATAAATTTCTAGACATCGTCTTTCGTTGATGTTCAATGTACTCATCCTTTTTTCGAAAATCAAAACACTAAAAATAATATTACCCCTATATATTTGGATGTAACACCAGAGTTGTCGGAGGGAAAGTAGAAGCTACGAGTACAATTGAACCCAATAAATTTGGTCCAAATTATGTACTTGACTTAAGAAATTTATTATATATGTATAAATTAATAATTTAAAACCTAGTAACTTAAAAAATTTAAAAAATAGTGAAATTTCACGTGTTTTAATCCTTTGACTGTTGGCAATATATGAAGTGTCTAATAAGCACATTATAAACAGATGTCCATTGGCCAAGAAGTCATAACCTCAACTGAGTTATCATGTAAATGATTTTTTTTTAAAGTTTTATGTATTAGTTAAATTATTGTCTACCTTTCTTCTAGTCAAAGCATCTCTATCTCCTGACCTGGTTCATACCTGCTAGAAGATTGAGAAAGGATTTTCATGACTTGGAAAAAGATATTTCGTTTTGTTGACATATTGTTGTGTATTAACCAAATTTTTTTGTGATGACTCAAAATGTCATTTTATGTTTTAGAACTCAATTTTGTACTTCTAAGCCTTAAAAATATTATTTTTACCCTCCTTGATTTGTGTGCGCAGGCTGGACATATTTCCGGAAAGCTTTTATGTAAAAAGTTGATAAAAATAAGAAATTTTGCCTAAAAACATCATTTGAATTGACTTCGGTCAACATTTTTTGGAAACGGACCCGGATTCGTATTTTGACGGTCTTGGTGGGTCCGTATCTTGATTTGGGACTTGGGAGTATGCCCGGAATCGAAATCGGAAGTCCCTACTAGCCCGAGATATCGGACTTTGCCGAATTTGAAAGTTAAAGGCTTAATGAAATGGAAATGTTTGACCAAGGTTTGACTTTTTGGATATCGGTTCGTATTTTGGTTCCGGAATCCGGTATAGGTTCAATACCATATTTATGACTTGTCTGTGAAATTTGGTGAGAAACGGAATTGGTTTGACGTAATTCGGACGTCCAGTTGAGTAATTAGAAGTTTCAAAGTTTTCTTGAAAATTTCATTTGATTTGGTGCTAAATTCATAGTTGTAGGTGTTATTTTGACGATTTGATCACGTGAGCAAGTTCGTATGATATTTTTAGATTTGTGTGCACTTTTGGTTTAGAGCCTCGAGGGCTCGAGTGAGTTTCGGATAGGCTATGGAGTGAAATTAGTTTTGGAAGAATTGTTGGTGTATCTGATATTGTTGCAGGCCTCTGATCTCACATTTGCGAGATCGGGCATCGCAATTGCGACCTTTGAGGGGTTCGCATGTGCGAGCTTCTCATCGCAAATGCGAAGAGAAGCTGGGCCATACAAGTTCGCATTTGCGAAATATTCGTCGCATTTGCGATATCGGTCTAGGAGGGGCAATTTTCGCATTTGCGATCGTGGGGTCGCATTTGCAGCCAGCTTAGTTCGCATTTTCGAACTTTTCTTCGCATTTTCGAAGATAGCAGAAATGTGGGATTCTTCGCAAATGCAATGGATTTCTTGCATTTGTGGACTTCGTATTTGCAACATCTGCAGTTGGTAAAACTTGACTTAGACAGGATTTTTGCTCATTTTTCAAAACTTTCAAAACAAGAAACCCTTTAGGTGATTTTCCAAAAACCATTTCTTCTCGAAAGACCATTTCTTCTCCAAAACATTGGTAAGTAATTCTAAACTAGTTTCCTTCAATCTTTCACTTCATTTTACAAGATTTCAACTTAAAATGGGAAAATACATAAGTACCCCGACCTATACCCGGATTCCCAACTACACACTTTTTCTTTGCGGGAATCACATTACCCCCCTAAACTTATTTTAAAGGGAATTATTTGTACCTTTAACGCTGACAACCAAACTCTTGGCAAGTGGTGATCTACACGCGCCCCCACATGTATTTTTAATACTTTTTTTTTATTCTTTCTTCTTTTTCTAATCGTTTTTTCTTATTTCTTATTATTCTCATTTTTTGGTTATTTCATTCTCTTCTTTTTTTTGTTTTGGTCACCAGCGACATAAAATGGTGATCGTTGGAATTTCACAAACACCATTTTTTTTGGCGAATGTTTTTTTCGATCTAAGTGTGTTTTGTTTTATAAATTTATAACTTTTTTTGAAAGTATAATTTATGAGTGGGAGGAAGAGCAAAAAAAATAAAAACGAATATAAACTTAGAAAACTTTTTTCAGTTAAAATTTCAATACATTATTTTTTTTCCGGCGTGCGAAGGTTTTCCGATGATGAATTTTTTTTCCCAAATCTGAGTGTATTTTGCTTTGCTTATGAATAGATCTTTTTGAGAGTTTAACTTGTGTGTGAAAAGAAATAATGGAGGAAAAACGGTTAGACAAAGTCGCTGGTAAATGAATATCTGTCGGAATTAGAGAAGAAACGAAAAAAAAAAGTAAAAGAAAAAAGACAAAGAAAAAGGAAAAGGAAAAGGAAAAAAAAGTAAGAAAAAATGGTAAAAAAGAATAAAAAATAATCTTAAAATCATTTTTTCTTGCTTCTCACTCTCCTTGGGAGAGTGAAATACACACACTCTTCCACGTCAGTATTAAAGGTGCAAATAATTCCATTTAAAATAAGTTTAGAGGAGGTAATAGGATTCCCACAAAGATAATTAGGAATCTGAGTATAGGTCAGGGGGGTAATCGAATTTTAGTCCAAAATAAATTGGGGGTTTTTCATGGTGGAATTGGGGGGTTTTCGGTAGAAACTAGAGATTTGATAAATTGGGGATTTAAACCTCAAATTGAGGTCGGATTCCAAAATAAATTATATAACCGGGCTCATGGGTGAATGGGTAATCGAATTTTAGTCCAAAATTTCGGGTTTCAACCAAGCGAGCCCGGGTGTTGACTTTTGTTGACTTTTTCAAAAATGACCTAAATTAAATTCTTTGCAATCGTGGGTAGTTCCTAAGGTTTTATTTGAATCGTTTGGTTGGTAATTTTCTATATTCTACTGGTTCGGAAGCTCGTTTGAGAGGAAAGGCCATGGTTAAGCTTTGATTGTGACCGTTAGAGCGAGGTAAGTGTCGTGGTTAACTTTGGCTTGAGGGATTATGTCTTATTTGCCTATTTGTTACGTGTTTGAATGTTGGGTACGACGTATAGGTGAGGTGACGAGTACATATGCATTGTTGTCGGGTCATAACATGCGAGTGGGTCTTATTTTTGTAATTGTTGCCTTTTGTGATCATATTATCCATACTTAGACTAGCGAATCATTATGTTGATCATTCTTATCATGTTTATGGATTTTGGTATTGATTGAGTATTGACTCAAAGTTGAGGTTGGTATTATGGGACCGAATGTTGAAGTAAGACTTGTTCTTGATATTTCTATCTCCCTTTTTGTTGATGTTCATTGTTTTGGTGAGGAATAGTGTTAATGCA